TAACAATAAACAACATTTAAACCTGACAGCCATTTTAAAATCAGAACCTGTCTGACTGACGCCATTCATCCATTTTCCCACCATGAAACAAATACATTTGCATAAGTGTGGCATGATGTACACATATGAATAATGAATACATATCGGTTCAATATTAAATGCTTGGATTTGTTCCAGTTGAGAAAATTTTACTCAAGTTTAATACTATGAAATCTATCCATTTTCATTAGAAATGGCTGATGCGAAATAAGAAACACTGGCACACACTTTTTGGGATATTTAAAGCGAGAGTCACTTGCATGCGTCAAATGACCATAACATTTCATTGTTTACAAACAAACGTCTACCCATGAGCCTTTGCATTTTTAGCGTGTATTGTTATTGTCGATTGGGACTCAATTCCCGTGCGCAGGTGACGACCCTCCCACTTTAAACTTTTCACCACCATATTTTCTCGCCCAAATTTTTCTGTACTTTTTTCTTTTTACATGTATCTTTCAATATGAAACTGTAATTTTGAAGCCAAGAGACACAATTTTAGTAAATTTTCAGTTTTTACTCAAAAAGTTTGGCTATTTTTATCCAATTTTTTTGAAAGAAAGTGCAGACTATAAACAGGACTATTTTGTGAAATTAAGATGAAGGGAGAGAACTGGTAGTGAAAGGTTAAATGTTACACAACAAAATCACCAAGTATTTACATAAATGGTATCACAGCAGTAATTTGGGCTCAGTGGATTAAAAGGATTATATCAAATTTAACCTTTGGTGACCTTACCCTTTGTTACATAATATTATTTCATTTCTCAAAGTTTTTTTTTAGCATGAATATGCACTGTCATAATTAAATTTGAATACAAACAAGTTTTAAAATTGAAAGATCAGTGAAAATCAGTCCACAAAAACTCCATGATTGATGTAATTATCTTACAAAAACACTGGTGCCTAATTTGAACTAATAAAATAGTAAATATACTTGTTCTGTCTGAACTGTGTCTACTCTATCAAATACTGTCACACTCATCATCAAAGTTATATTATTTACCATCTTGAGATTTGATACAAGCATAGTAATGAGATAATGTCGAATGATGAACTAAGACTGCATAGAGTTCAAATATTGTGTTACCATGGAGATCAACACTCACTATTTGACATATTAGACGAGAAAATAACTGATGTTTCAATTTTTGAGAAAAATTTGAGAATCACTTCAACTGAATTACAAAGTATGGCAGCAATATTTGAATTATTTCTTTCTTTACAATATCATGAATAAGATTGCAATCATCGCATGCATAATTATGTATTATAATTATTAAGAAGTTTGATGTCTTTGAAGTGTGTTTTAAATTACTAGTAGTATTATAAAATTGTGTTCCTGTGAATTTTGATTTACAAAAGTTATTTACTTTGACAGAGAAAGGTGTTGTTATGACAACCATGTTATTGTTATTGTATTCTTTCAAAATGTGAATGCAACATTGTGTCTGGTAATGTATTTTTGTTTCGATAACTTTGGACTAAACAGAATATTCTATCAGCTTCAGATCTTGATCAAAAGATTGGCACCCAAAGGGTTATTCATAGTGTTTAAATCAATTCTCTGACATCTTGTTTTCTGTTAAGATAGTTTATACCGTATTACCCCGGGCACGCGCCCCTCCCTGGGCAAGCGCCCACCCCCCTGTTTTCACAAAAGTTACATGCTGGGGACATCCTCGGTTAAACACCCAGGGTGATTTTTAGCCAAGAATTAGGTCAACAATAAAATTTTATTTGTCACAAACGGCCGTTTTGTTT